TTTAGTAAGCTCTGCTAGAGACCCATACTCAAGGGCCATGTTTTCAGAAGGGCCCCAAAAACTGGGAAGGGGGGACCCACATAATGTGGGAATTAGTGCTTTGTTCATAGCTTTCAGTGACAGAAAATCAATGTATCTTGGACCCGATTTCTTACTCTCAGGAAATAGATATCAGTGTAACAGATGTTGGGTAGCTAAAGTTTTGACATCCAAATCTGTCACTCTGATGTCTTCCTTTTGGGTAGTTTCCTCCCTTCCTCTCTTATTCCCTTTTTTAGGAGATCTGAGTGCTCAAATATTGCCTAAATAATTGGCTAGAGAGCTTTGATTTCATGAGCTTTTTTCTTTGTCCACTTTTGTTCTTTCTGTGCCCAATGGAATTTTTGTGTCTGCTACCTTGAACCTTGTGACATTTTCCTGGTGAACCCCTCAGGATGAGCAGCCAAAGAAAGAGGAGGTTAAAAAGGAAGGCTCTGGCAATACCACCGGCAGCACTGGCAACAGTGGCAGTGGGAGCAGCACCAGTGGGGAGGCAAGCAAGTGAGTGCGGCGTGAGGAAATGGGTTGGCAACTTGGGAAGGAAAACAACTATGTCCATTAGAGAAATAGCCAGAACAGGGAGGTAGTTGCTTCTAAGACTGCCGACTTAATAACTGGATCATGGGAATACTGGTGACTTGGTTTTATGACGATGTAGTCTAAACTTTGTGTGTAGATTTCTGGATCAGTCCCAGCATTGATAACATTTCATTTGCGTAAAATAGCCAGAGGGCCCCTAATTTAGAAACACCAGCTTTTGCTTGGCATTGGGGAAAAACCATGGCCGCTTCAGATGCCTAACAGCATCCAAAGCTATGTGTAAGTTGATGTTGTACAGTTGCTGTGAACTGCCAGATCGTCTTCTGGGCTTTGGTCCTTTGCTGCTCTTTGTTTCACCCTGGCCATGGAGATAATGAGATAATGAAACCTTCTCAATAATAAGAATCCACACTTCCTTTCACAGGAAGAAGAGGAGTCGGAGCCATAGTAAAAGCAGGGATAGAAAACGCAGGTCAGTCATTCTGGGGGCTTTGGGTTTTCAGAATTACTATAAATAGAAAGATACCAAGGATATATATCGAAGCCCAGAAGAGGTTGGTTGGTTTATTAACAAACTAAATAGCTGTTTCCATCTGCATTCGTAGTCGGGACCGTGATCGGCATAGGCGGAGAAACAGTCGGAGCAGAAGTCGAGATCGGCAGCGTCATCACCGCAGCCATAGCTGGGATCGTCGCCACAGTACTGAGTCCCGAAGTTGGGACCGGCGTCGTGAGGATCGTGTGCACTATAGGAGTCCACCACTTGCCACTGGGTATCACTTTTTGCTAACAAGATCACTTTCCTATTGGAATCTGGGTAAACTATGTTCTATGGTCCCTTCCCGAGGGTGCTTATAAGCCTCCGTGATAGGCAGGAGACCCAGTTACTGGAGGGGTGGCATTAAGAATTCACGTGTGAGATGAGGTGCTGGGATCTGGTTTTCTCGTGATGGAAGACCCAGCATTGGACCAATCTGAATAAAGTTGGGTGACACAACTTTCACTTTTGTTGTTCTCTGTCCCATAGGCGTAGGTATGGACACAGTAAGAGTCCTCATTTCAGAGAGAAGAGCCCAGTCAGGTGAGTTGATAATGAATACTTTTTTAGAGATTGTAAGGTAATGAATAAAAAGGTCTTTGAGTCAAAGTACAGGAATATGTAGTACTTGAGGTTAGCTAGAGAATGATAACCAAGTATTGGTAGGGGTGAAGGTCTCAACAAATTTTCCTCACTCCTCAGAGAGCCAGTTGATAATCTGAGTCCTGAAGAACGTGATGCCCGAACAGTTTTCTGTATGCAATTAGCTGCCCGCATTCGGCCTCGAGACCTAGAGGACTTTTTTTCTGCTGTTGGCAAGGTAACCTTCTCCTCCTTAATTTGCTTCTGACTATCCTATATTCTGTCTATCCCCCTTTATTCTCAACTCAGGATTTCTCTTTTGCCCTGGATAGGTTCGTGATGTACGTATCATCTCAGATCGGAACTCACGTCGTTCCAAGGGTATTGCTTATGTGGAATTCTGTGAAATCCAGTCTGTGCCACTGGCCATTGGGCTGACTGGGCAGCGGCTGCTGGGGGTGCCTATCATTGTACAGGCCTCACAGGTGAGCAGGCCAAGAAACTGACCTGAGAAGACAGGATTGAAGGTAGGAGGTGTGAGACCTGACCCATCATTTCTTCCTTCCCCAGGCTGAGAAAAACCGACTGGCAGCCATGGCCAACAACCTTCAGAAAGGCAGTGGTGGACCAATGCGCCTCTATGTGGGCTCCCTGCATTTCAATATCACCGAAGACATGCTCCGGGGCATCTTTGAGCCCTTTGGCAAAGTGAGTAGAGTAGAAAGTGAGGGAAACCTCTGAAGGGAATTAGAAAAAGTGGAGAAGATGAGTATTCCTCTTTGTTCTGTCTGACCATGATAAACCCACTGCATTACACCATAGTGGGCATAAGGATCCATGCTGGGAAAGTTAGGCTCCATCTCTGTATTCAGATTGGTCAGTAGACAAATGAGTCAGGCACCATGAAATCAAATAATGGGGTTCAGATTAAGCAAGATGGTCACAAAAGGTGTTTTGGAAAGAGATGGCCTTTGTTTCTTTTTAAAAATGATTCAGAGAGATGTGATTGGTGGTGAAGAAGTTGGAGGTAACTAGAGCAATCTGGGTAGGAAAGATCAAAAGTATGGGTTAGCTAAAAAGTTATTAATAATATCTCCCTGTTCTGCAGATTGATAATATTGTCCTGATGAAGGATTCGGATACAGGTCGTTCTAAAGGTTATGGTTTCATTACGGTGAGTCTCTAGTCTTTTTAACTTGTTTATTTTAGTTTGGGTTTGTCCTCTTTTTCTGATTTTACAGCTTAGCTTCATTCTCCTTTAGGAACTATGTAAATGACTCATAAACCCTGACGCCTAAAGCTTGGACTAGCCTTCTGTTTCTTTTTTTTTAATGCCTACAGCACCTGGTCTTCCTAGTATCCCATCCAAGTATCCAAGAACTAACCAGGCCCGACCCTGCTTAGCTTCCGAGATCAGACGGGATTGGGCTTGTTCAGGGTGGCATGGCTGTAGACTAGCCTTCTGTTTCTTGAGACGAGTGTGTTGCTTGAGCTCTTGGCTTTGTTCCTATATTTTTGTCAGTGGCCCAGGGGTGTCCAGGAGTTGAACCAGCTTCCCTGGTGCTGCACCTTGCTCTTAGGGTAATAGTAATGATTCCAGGCTGCAGCTAAAATGTTAGGGGCATGAGAGAGGTTAGGTACAGGCTTTTATGGACATGTTTTATAGAATTGGTATATTTTCATGATGAGATAGGATGGTACTACTCTGAATAATTTTTCCATTGAGAAGTATCTTTATATTTAAATACTGTAGAGAGAATAGTGAGGTCATCTATTAGTGGGCAAATCTCACCTTTTCCTGACACTTCAACAAAATTGTTACCAGTTCCCGTAACTGGTTCTTCCAGCCCCATGTGACTCCAGGCTGAGGACTGGCTGCCAGCCACAAGTCTGATTGAAGCTGGTATTTTCTGGGCTCAATCCAGGCAGCATACACCCCCACAGCTGCCTGCAGGGCAGAGGAGAGGTAGGTTGTGTTCTACCGTGGCAATTGCTCACCTCAGAAGTATCCAGTAAAGGCAGGCCACCTACATCACCTGCCTGTGAACTGTCAGTACCACGTGCCAGGCCCTGGGGCAGCTAATACCAGAGTAACCAAAGCCAGCTGTGGCGTTCCTAGTGGCAAGTACCTTTTCTATCTCTCTGTGTGACTTAGATGCAGAAAGGCTTCTTTTGGGGCCTTTTCACCCTTGTGTTGCTGCTTTTTAGGTCAACACCCTTGACACTTAAATAGCAGACTGGGAATGCTCTTTATGCCATGCTACTGTTGTTGCTGCTGATGATGAAAGGGACGAGAGAGTAGAGGCTCTTGTCAGCAGGCCACCAAGTCAGCAGCACTGTGGTGGGGGTGCAGGCGCAGTCTTCCTCTGAGCACCAGGCTGGACTCTGGAGGTCCAGATTTCTACTTCTTAACTGAGAACTGAAACTTACTAGTCCTAAGGACTGAAATAAAGCCCAAGAGCGTTGACTCTCAGCTTATCTTACTTCCGTTTTATATGTCCATTTGTGAAACAGCCTGTCAGGCTGGCTTCCCTACAGATAAAAGACTTTTTACATTGTTGGGTTTTTAATGGAGCTGGAAGATTGATAAGTGATTGCCATTGAGTCCGTTGGAAAAGGTGCTTTTCAGAGAATAATTTAGGGAGGGATCTTAGATCACAGATTCTTGGAAAGAAAAGTTTGTACTGCAGTGAGCATGCAGTTTTCCTGGAATAGTAGGAATATGAGTGTTAGTGGGGTTTTGAGAGCATGTCTGTGGCCAAGAGGTGACTGATATTGCTTGGGTTTCTTGTAGTTCTCTGAGTCTGAGTGTGCCCGGCGGGCCCTGGAACAGTTGAATGGCTTTGAGCTTGCTGGTCGACCTATGAGGGTCGGCCATGTGACAGAGCGACTGGATGGTGGTACAGACATTACTTTTCCTGATGGAGATCAGGAGCTGGATCCGGGATCAGCAGGTGGACGTTTGCAACTCATGGCCAAGTTGGCAGAAGGTAGAGTTTCTCTGCAGGTGGAGGATATGGATTGAGTTGTAAATCAAGGGTTGGGACTTAATCCCACCTTTTCTTTCCCTTTTAGGCTCTGGAATCCAGTTGCCAACCACAGCTGCCGCTGCTGCCTTGCAGCTGAATGGAGCAGTACCCTTGGGGGCCCTGAACCCAGCAACTCTGACTGGTAGACTTGGACTTGGGAAAGGAAAAGAAGGGTGAGGGCCTGGAAAGAAGAAATGTTCTTTGCTCACTAATTCTCTCCTCCTCTCTGTTCCAGCTCTGAGTCCGGCCCTGAACCTCGCCTCTCAGGCAATTGCCTCCCATTGCTTCCAGCTTTCCAACCTCTTCTCCCCGCAGACCATGTGAGTCTCAGGACCTAGCTCATTTTAGTCTCAGTTATTTTCTTTCTTTTGACTTCTATTTACCTCTTCCCCAGGTGAATCAATGGCACAGTATACTGCCTCCCTGTGCCTCTGGGTCCTGCCACTCCCTTCTCCACATTTACCCTTCTGTGGTTCCTTTTCTCCATTTTGTGGACCAAGCCATCCTGAGGGCATGGACATTGACTATGGGGAAATTGGAGCCACCCTTATGGGCCAAGAAGAGCTCCTGCCCATGGCCCCACTGGGAATAGCCTCTGCTGAACAACCGCTAGTCGAAGAGAACAGAATTGTTGAACACCTATTTCCCTGTGTGTGTTGTCTCCTGGGAGGATCTTCATTGGCCTTTCTAACAACATCTTAGTGATTCCTCGATTCCTCCTCTGTTGGGAAGGCCATAGGGCATTGACTGAAGGAATGAACTTCTTTTCGTTTGTCTGTACCCTACAATTTTTTCAAGGAAAACCCTTAAGCCCTCTGGACAAAGAGGACTTTGGAGTTTGTGGGGTGAACCTTGAAGGTGCTGGCTTGCTGTTGCAAGGGCCCCCAGAAGATAGTATGGACTCGTATATGCATTGTGAAGCCTGCCTTAGACCTCAGCTTAGGGCTGGAACTACTACTGTAGGCTCAGCATCTTGCTGGGAACTGTGGGAATGATCTATCCTGCCAGGTATTTTGAATGTCTTAAGGGGCATTCAGTTTAGCGAAGGATGGGGGTACTTTCCAGTATCTTCCATCTTTCTTTGTACAGTTAGTTGTCCTTCCTCCCAGGTCCTTCCTTTGGTCCAGGGTGGGAGGATGGAGGGGAGGCTGCTACTCTCTACCTATTCCCATGTGCCTCTACTGTAGGCTCAACCCCAGCTGTTAAAGCTGCTCCTGTCCCCTGCCTGGGCACACGTGAGCCTTCTCACTGGATTTTATACCCTTGTGTCTGTACATAAATATATATATGTATATATATATAAACTTTGTACAAATGGCAAGCCCTGCTGTTGTGGCGGCTGCTTTCCATATATGTGTGGTCTTAGTTATGTCGGATGTTAATTTCTCAGCCAAAACCATGAATGGTTCTAGGGATATAAAACATTTGTAATACCATTGTGAGGTTTTTTCCTTTATTTTAATTTTATCTAATTTTCAGAAAGAAAAATGGACAAAAGGCACATACCTGGGCCAAGTTCTTGTCTGCATCTCCATTTTACTGTTGATGTTTGTCTCCTCCTCCATCTGTCTCCATCTTAACTATCTCCAAATCTATCTGCCCACTGGACTGAATTGCAGGTTCTGTCCCTGTGCCTAAGGACAGATCTTGTCTTTCCACTAGATGGCAGTGTAACTACCACATTCTGCACCTTCCTCTAGGTGTGTTTCATGATATTAAGGATCTTAAGTAGCAGAGAAGCCTCCCAGGCTCACCCTTCTTACAGTTGGTCCCCATACCACTTTTAGCCTTCTTTGTAGTAGAAAACTACTAGAGCCCAATATGCAAAAGGTTTTGGGCATCATACATTAGGGATCCTCAGGCCTTAACTGCTGTTCTCCCAGTCACCTCAAAGCTTGCATTCCACATAGCTCTGCCTGGGATAATGCAAGCCTAGAATCAGTGACTCGCAGGGAGCTGGGTTTTCCAGGAAGGGCTCTGCCAAAGGGGAGGCAGAACTTCCTCTGCTTGCTTTTTAAGGCTTGTAACAAGGGACTGGGCCAGCCCAGCTCACCAAGTAAGAATCAGCCTGGAGGAGGAGGTCTGAGGTTCTTGGTCAGGGCTCCTCCATTCTTTACTGGTTTCTATGGCAACAAAATGTTAAGACTATTGTCATGCTAAAAATATGGATAATTGCTGTTAGGTTTTAATTTGTCAGCACTCAGACTTTCTAAAGCAGAGTGATGGGTTTTTGGTGATATTAGCTTCTGGGGTTGCTTTGAACACTGAAGTATTAAGTACCTGAAGCCTGTTTGGTGTAAGAGGCCACTGGGGCCCAAGACTAGCTCTCGATTCTTCTAGCTAGCTATTTCCTTTGCTGCCACCCCCACTCCTTCCGTATCTTAGTTTGCTCTCTCGACCTGGAGGAAGGGAAGGAAGATGCATTATTTTTAGGTAGGAGCAGCTGGCTATGGCCCAGTCCCCCTATAGTTATTGATTTGGCTGTTAATGCATCCTGGAAGCACAGTGCAGACCATTTTTGTTAGTCATTCTAAAGCCATGGACCAGACCTCCCTGTGGTAGTCTTGAACTCCAAACTGTATATACCCACAGGCCTTCCCTCCCTGCACTCCTCAGACGGGCACCCACCTCTGCTTAGTTTCCTTATGTTCTCATACCTACCTCCTTTGGGCTTGTACTCTGGTTCCTTCTACTTCAGTTCTTCCTTGCCCCTTGGGCTTAGTTCCTCATACATCCTCTTGCTGGGAGAGAGACAGTGATCAAGTGAAGAAATATCTAAGACAGCTTCTCTAGTCTTAACTCACGTAAGGTGACTGCATCTAATGTTTGACAGCCGGTGTCACTGTATGACTCAGTGCCTTCTTGTTACTCATCTCTATCGGGGGCGGTTAGAGTGGAGAGAAGGGGGCAATAAATAGCCTCTGGGTTGGGCCTAAAGTAAAATAAACTTCCCTCAACCTCTCCTGCCTGAGCATGGTTGTGAGACTGAGGGTAGAGGTGAGACTGAGCCAGTCCTTTTCTCAGCATACTTAGGATTTTCCTACCAGGCCTCATTTCTAAATGGGATTTTCACCTGACTTTTGGCTTAGAGCCTATGCTTCTTTCTTCTCCAAGGCAGTGGCATTTTCTCCCTGTTCTTTAAACTGCTCTGTGTTCTTGATGGGATTTAGGAAGTAATACTTGGACAGTTAGAAGAGTCTATCCTGTCTTCAAAAAGTAACGGGGTAGGAGGTGGAATGATGACAACTATTAACATTTATGCAGGATTTGTTGTGGGTTAGGCACTTTATATGTATTGAATCATTCTTCAGTGACCCTCTGAGTTAGAGTCTTTTGTTAACTTTAATTGTAAATAAGGAAACTGACACTCAAAGAGCTTAAATAACTTGCCCCACAAAAAGTTTGCGATTCCAATCCAGGCAGTCTGACTTCTTTGATCTTAATCGTAAGCTGCCTCTCAACACCACTATAGAAGCCAAGGCTTTGGAGTCATGAGGAAGTGTCACTTTTTCTGTCTTTGTACTCATACTTCTTAGTATAGCCTGAATTTTTCCACTTTCATGTCTGTTCATCTTGTTCTCTCTTCTTGCCCCTCTTTTGCTGGTCAAAATCTCATCCTTTAGGACTCTGAAGCTTTCCTAGTTGGAGTCGACTTCCTTTTTCTAATAGGTCTTATTCTGCCTTTATTTACAGTGCTTTGTAAACTCTATTAATAGATGGTTATAGCCTGATGAAGCCAGCCATAGACACATCTTTTCCATTATTGTTTTGCTTTGTATATGTTACATGTCTGTTGAATTAATTCCCTTTCTGTTCAAATCAGAGCCAGTCTATTCAAAGGCTGTCCCTTCTAGTCTGCCTTCCCTGGCAGCTTCATCCATTCCTTCCTCACCCCTTTATGAGACGAGGCAGCTTTATTCTTTTTAGTGTTACCATGGTAGCCTGTGATGCTTTCTGTCTAAAATGCTGTTTGCCATCCACCAGAGACTGATGTTTCCGTGGCAACCAGGTGAAGTCAATAGTCATGAGCTGGATGCAGGAAAGGAATTCTGATCTCAGAAGCTGTGTGTCTGAATCTTCTGGCTTCAGACATCCTCTTCCCTCTCAACCTTTGCACTCTATATCTCGAACTGATTTGCTCTCAAAGTGTACTCTTGGTTGAGAGAACTCTGTGTGAGGTGAGGCAGACCAGCCAACTTAGATCATGTGGGAAGGTGGAGGCAAGGAAAGAGCTGATCAAAGATCACGTTAAAAAGTTGGATGAGTTCTCTTAGCTGTCACAGATGATCGACTCTCAAGAACCCTTAAGGAGTTGGCTGGAGTTGCCAGAGAGCCATTAAGCAGTTATTTTTGAGGGCAATGGGTAGGTGGATGAGGTGCCTGAGGACTGGAAAGGAGCCAGTCAGTTCTGGATTGCAGAGGGGAAAACAATGACCTTGGAAATCAGAGACCTGTCAAACTCTTGTTAATGTTCCAGAATGGATGGGAGTTTCCATCAGCTTTCAAGCATCATGGAGCCTACTTGTTTAGAATGAGTAGTGCAAAGAATTAGCTGTCGCCTCCCAATTCCTGGGTCCAACCAAGCCAGGGAACTTCTACCCTATAGCAGAATAGTCATACTCTGGAGCACCACTATAAGGTTCAGATCCCTCTTCTGTCTCAAACTAGCTGAGTAAGCTCAGGTGTTACTCCACTTCGCTAACTCAGACTCCACATCTGCAAAAAAGAAATGATAACAATAATACCTTATCTCAGGCATTTGAGAATTAAATGAAATGATCTGTGTAGAGAGCTTAGAACTTGTTAGCTTATCGGTTACTACTTATCATTACTCCTGCCATCTTTATTCCCATTCCTCTGGGTGCCTTGACTGTCTACCTGACCTCATCTCCAACTTCAGAGAAAACTCAATATTTACAGGGGGAGAAGTGAGGGTGGGGCAATGATGAAAATAAACCATAATTGTTTCTGGGCTAAAGTTCCAGGCTTACAAGGTCCCAGGTCACATGCAACCAGCCCACTTTTCAGGAAAACAAGTCTCATTGCCCAGCCTCTTTTTATGCCTGAAACTCTATAATCATTACAACCAGATGGCTTTGAAAAATCAAGGTGAGCCCCCTGGGTACCTTCAGGGTACCTAGTGCCCTTTGCTTTTTCTGGCCAAGGAAAAGCCCAGAGTGCTCTGTGTTAGAACCCTTTGCTTGGTGTCCCTCCTCATTTCTCCCAAGCACTCCTATAGCACCTGCCCTACTCTGGCAATTCCCTTTCAAAATAAGTATTTCAAATCACAGGTTCTCTGCCTAAAGATGAGTTATAATTTTAACAAAATATGGAAAACTGCTCAGTATAATACCCTCACTTAGGCTTCAGTTGCCAATCTTCCCCTGCATTCCTCCTAAAACAAATCCAGTAATGGGTCACCTAAGTCCTAGTGGGGAGGGCATGTTGGATCTTGGGGACCATAACTTAAATTTGTATTTCCAGAGTGGTGCTGGGCTTTGAGAGAATAGCAAGCAGCCTGAGTGATTGCCTGAGACGAGGACACAGGTTGCAAAAAAAAAAAAAAAAAAAAAAAAAAAAAAAAAAAAAAAAAAAAAAAAAAAAAAAAAAAAAAAAAAAAAAAAAAAAAAAAAAAAAAAAATTCCACTGCTCATTTGTATAATGCTTGACAAATTACAAAGGTATTTGCATTTTTATTTAGTCCTCACAACTATCCTACATTATATAGTTGGGAGAGCTAAGGTTCAGAAAGGCAGAGAGGTTAAGAGTGACTTTTCTCCATAGACTTCCATCCAGAAAGTAGTGGGCCTGAGAGCTAACTAAAACACTTTCAAGGCCCTATTGAATTTGTATTCATGTCTTGAGTTTACAAGGCCACCAAGCTGTGGAGGCATGGCATCAAGATTCAAATAGATGAAAAGGGACCTTGAGCATATGCATCAGAGAGCCACCAAAATAACAAAAGATGAAGAAGCAAGATGCTCTTGTCTGGTTTGGGGGCTCCTTGATAACTCGGCCACACCACCCACCCAAATGTTACTGCCTTCTTATGGGAAGCGTCTTTACCTCATCATGGGGTGGGCTGCCCACCATTTCTCCTGTGCATTTGCTCATGTAGTTTCACTACAACGGGTGGTTTTCCTTCTTTCCTCCATCTGTCTACAGCGTACATATATCCTTCAAGCTCCAATTCCTAAAATATAAGTCTTCTAAATTTTGTTTCATTCTTAGAAATTTTTAAAGCACATGATGTCGCCCCGCTACCTCCACCCACCTTAGATAGTCAGAATATAGTATAGTTTGCTGCTGTTTTGGCCATGGTTGTACTGTCACCACCACCTTGTCCTGCCTCTCCAGGTCAATTGTCAGCTACTTGAGGGCAGGGATCATGTCTGTATTGTTTTCTTCATAGGGCCCAGCACGGTGACTGTCATATTGCAGCACCTGAGGGGAACAGTAAACATTTATGGATGAAAGATAAAAACATCCAGGAAAAATTTACTTAGACTGAAGTGGGTTGGAACTATGTTAGATTAATAAAAAGATGTACGTATGGGCAAACTTCCTGGGAGGGAGAGTTGAACCCAGAAGACTTGTGAAGTTGTCCTTCCACAACTGGCAGCCTTCAGAGAAGAGAGCCCCTGCTCTCTTCAGACTCTCTACAGAAGAGAGTCTCTGTAGAGAGGGTTAGATGCAGCAATAAATTATTTCATTTTTGAACAGGTACAATATACCATAGCAGGGCTTATGGCTTAACTATAAGCAGAGGCCCAGAGCAGAGGAATACCTTCTAAGACATGGAGTGGCATCATCTCTAGACTCTCAGGGGAGGGCACAGTCTATGTTCTTGGCCACTGAAGAGGACTTATGAGCCAGAGGGAGTGGGGGTATCAGTTTGATGGGTTGGGCCAGTAAGAGCACAAACCCCAAGATAAAATAGCAGTAGTTAGAGGAGCACAAGGGCAGAGACCTGGCACAGGCAGCTCAGGCCCTAGGGCCCTTCACTATCTCAAACCAACCCAGATCAGTAGCTTGGTTATACTTTGCTTTGATCAGAGAGAAGGAGAAGAATGGCCTGGCTCTCAGAGAAGACCCCACCTCTCCCAAGTCTGGCGGGAGCCTGGCTTCAGCTTCCTTCTGTTCTGAGCTCTTCCATGTAGGCGTCTAGAGGGAACACACAGATGGGTCGGCTGATGGGTCTGGCTAAGTTGCGGGGAGGGAGGCCTGTGTGTGTGTGGCTCCCTTCATGAGGGAGGTCCTGCCATCATCATCTTCAGACTGATGCCACATGGAAGACAATGATTCCTCATCCTCCCCTCCTGCCATCTTTGACCATTGGTGGTACTCGTCCTCTAGAAAAGCCCTCCTCCCTCTACATGCTCAGTCTTGGTTCTTCCATTACATCTGTGGTGGCTGCATCTCCACCTCCTTTACCTGTCTCTCCTCAGGACCTTCTTTTGTCTCTTCTTTCTCTGGAACACCAAATCTTCATTTTGTTTTAAATTATTTTATTTCATTTTTGAACAGGTAAGATATGCCAGAGTTAAAGAAGTAGAAATGGGGTATATAATGAGAAGTAAACCTCCCACACCTGTCCTTCACTCACCCAGTTCCCCTTCCCAGCAGCCATCCGTACCAACCTGGTTTATAATTTGTTAGGTCACAGACTCTTTTGGAAATTTGATAAAATTCGTGAACCTTAGTCTCAGGCAAATGCATGACTGCACAAACATCAGATTATACCACTTTATAAGAATTACAGACCCCTAAAGCCCACATGTGGTTTGAGGCTAAGAAACGCAGCCTGTATTGCTCCCTCTCTCTTAGTATCTCCCTTAGTATAATTTGTAGGTCCCTGTGCAAAATAAAAATGCAGGGCTCCTTATTCAAAGAATTTCAAAACAGTGGCAGCAAAGCAATTAAACTAAGCATAGGGCCCTCTGTGACTGGGCCATGAAGCCAGTCCTGCATCTCATCCTTTACTCTGGCTCTTCTGCTAACATCTTTATAGCAATTATTCTCATATCTGTGTTTCTCGCCCCAACTTTTTGAATTTCCGACCCAGCTGTCAAGGAAACTGCCGAAACTCTCCATGTGAATGTTCTAGCATCTTAAACTCAGAGTCTCCAAAATGGAACCATTTACCTTCTACTCTCTGCCCCTTAACTTCTAATTCTGCAGCCTCCTCCCACAACCTGCAACTCCTCCCTCTCTATACCCAGCCACTCAGTTGCTAAGTCCCACTGATTCTGACTCTCAAATCCCTGCGGCCCCTCCTTTCCCACGGCCATCTCTCTCTGAATGGTCCTTCATTGCTCTCCATATGCATTATTGTGATTGGCCCCTACACTCAGCTCCTCAGGCCTTGCTGCTGCTGCTTTAATCCATGCACACCTCTCCCAGCCTCCTCTTCCCAAGAGACCACCCTGATCACGTCATTTCCACATGCAGAGACCTTCAGTGACTGTCACTGCCTACAGAGTCGGGCTGTAATTCCTTTGCCAGTGTTTAAGGTCCTTTGCAGTAGGCTTCAAACGTTCTTTTCCATGTTCGTCTCTTAACCCTCCTCTTCATATCCCTGAGGTTTCAACCCAACTGTAGAACCATCTGGTCTCTTAATGGGCCCAGTGTGTTTTCCTGCATTTTAAAATTTGAACTGCCTCTGTTCATTGTCCCCAGAGATTAGAGCTGGCTTACTCCACTGCAGCGGAGTAATTTCTCGGGCCTTTTCACCACAGCTACTGTCCATGGCCCTGCTCATTGTGTCACCTGCATTTCTTCTACTGTCCCTCTCACTCCAATTCCTACTGGAAAGGGAACTTCAAATACAAAGGTGGATAAAATCATCATTAAGTATCACGCAGACATGAGTGGAATCCCAGCTCTGCTTTGCTTATTGACCTTTTATTGACCCCTGTTACTTAAATTCTTCCACAGTAAAAAAAAAAAGTAACACCTTATTTAGTCATTACAGTGTTAACAGATAAAGTGAATAAAGTCCTAAGGATAGTGTCACTATTCATATTATCTTATAACCATCCACACTGGACTGGTCTCCCTTGGCTCCTCCTTAGCTGTAAGGACTCAGAAGATATCTCATCCCTCTTTCCATTAAGTTCTGGGAACCTGAGTGGGGTGAAGTGGAGGCCTGGCCTTTGAGTGCTCAGGAAACTGTATTGTATGTCTTAGGGAAGCTGCTGCCTTGTGGAGCTGTGTTCCCTTTGTTCAAACTCGTGGCTCAGGCAGCAGCAGGCGTGGGTGTCACCAGGAAAGGCACTGACAGCTTCAGTTCTCACATGGGCCTTACAGGTGACAGCTGGGGTGTTGGGGCCCTGTCAGGGGTAATGTAGGCTGACCCTATCATGCCCCAGCTGATGAACCTTCCTGGTGAATGTGGGTCTCACCTTGAACCAGCCAAGGTCATAGCTGAGTGCAGCTCTGGGAGCTAAATGTAGCCTCTAGCCTGCTCTTTGCAGGATAAGGTAAGGAGATGGAGCTTAGAGTCTGGGGACTTGATACCACTGGGTCACTAAGTTATTAAATTACTTCTAGGTCCCTGCTCTTCTCCAGGCCTGTTTTCTCATCTGCAAAGGCACGAGTTGGACCCCATTATCTCTAAGGGCCTGTGATCCCTTGCCACAGACTATACCAGGACCAAGTCAGTTTTGGGACCTAGGGATTTAGGTTCCTTGTTCCTCTGGACCTGAGTTTTCCTGTCTGTAAGAGTTTCCTCCATCTATCCCTTCTGTAGGGGCGTTGTGAAAAGAGAGACAAAGTGAAAAAGTGCAGTAGAAAAATTCTTTATTGAAAAGGAAAGGGTGGCCCCTTGCTAGTGCCTCCTGGGCTCTGGCCAAAGGGGGATTACCACCCTCTCAGCTCCTCACGCTGGCATCTGAAGGCAAAAGTCTGTCCGTACCTTACCTTTAATAGCCTTAAAGGGGAAGTGCCATGGTGTGATGATAAAACCACAGAATTAACTCTCAAAAATAGCACTTCCAGGCCCTGGCCTTTAAGAACTCCTTAAAGGCAAAGTGGACAAGTGCAGCAGATAAGAGCCAGAACATTTTAGGAAAAGTATCCAAAAAGGATCTCCGTGTCTTTACCTTTAAGAATCTCTTAAAGGTGAGGCATGTTCACGCAGAGTACAAAGGTGGAAAACCCTGTAAAGGAGTCTACAAAGCACTTTTCCAGTTTTCGCTTTTAGGATCTCTAAAGGAGAAGTGGTCAAGCGCGAAGTAATGCAATCAAAATACCTTACAGAACGATTTTCCTTACTGTCAGCTGGAACCCGCCCCGCCCGCGGGCCGCGGCGCGCCCACCCTCGCTTCTGCATCCCGTCCCCTAGGTGCCCAGAGCAGGGGATATCCAGAGAAGGCATGGAGGCGCAGGTGGGGGCCCGCACCCACGGTGGCACCAGGGCGTCCTGGGAGTTTTTGGTTTCCTAGACGGTCTTCACAAAGAAAGGCTGACTGGGGCGGATGGGGGCGGGGCGAAGGGGCTAGCGGAGAGAATGGTGACTGGTGACCATGGTGACCGCGGTGACCATGGCAACCGTGGCTCAGAGAACGGAGAGGTCGTGACATGACCTGGAGCGCTGCTTGAAGAACTTGGCGTTGCGCGGCACCAGGTTGGCAAGGAAGCGCTTGGCCTTCTTGGTGAGGCTCTCGCGGCGCGCGGGTGGCACAGGGCCCTCCAGGCCGCCCCATTCTGGCCGCTGGCTCCCCATGCGGCTCCGGCCCCGCCGCAGCCGGATCTGGCGCACCGCGCCCTCAAAGAGCTCCCGCGTGTTGTGGTGTAGCGCAGCCGACGTCTCGATGTGCTTGCAGCTCAGTGTCCCTGCCAGGTGGCGGCCCTCTGCAGGAAGGAATTGGTTCAGGCGCCTGCCTGGGCTGCACTGGGTCCAGGGCAGGAGTGCACTGGGTGAGGTTGCAGGTGTGCATAGGAAAAGGACTGAGACAAGTAAGAGAACAAGGCAGGGATCGGTGGGGAGGTGGAAAGGTGATGGGGAGTGAAGAGAAGGGATTCTCAGGGCCTTAGGCTTGGGTATTGAGAGTCTTCCCTTAGCCTGGGGCTAACTGCAATCAAGTTTGTGCGCCTGAGGGTAAAAAGGCCTCAAGGCAAAGGGTGACAGGAAAGGAGGGACTAGGTAGGATCCCCTGAGATTGGAGATCAAGTATGGATGAGGTTCAAGATACCCACCCTCCAGTGAGACTTCCCTGGAGCGGGCCAGGTCACTCTTGTTTCCAACAAGAATGACAGGCAGGTCGTGGTGGGGCCTCCCAGCCCGAAGCCGAAGTAGGGTCTCTGGAACTTTGGAGAAGCTTCTTCTGTCAGTGACTGAGAAGACGATGAGAAAGGCATCCCCGGTCTGAAGGCAGTGGTCCCGCAGCCACCCCCCTGCTTCCCCCTGCAGATGGGCAGAGAGAGTCATGGAATGTCAGGGCCGGAAGCATGGGAGAACCTGTCCAGCAACTACATATCAAGGATGAGGAATCAGGATGTGAGGGAGACGCCACTTGCTTAAAACAGCAGAGCTAGTTAATAGCAGAATCTCCAAACCCAGGATGTGTTTATGGAGGAGGGACAAGTTAGTAATGTGAGTCCTATGTGGGAGAATTGGAGACACGATCCTAGACTAGGGTAATCCATCCTACTTTCTGATGCTTAAAATCTTAAGAAATGAATGCTATTCAAGTGTATGTAATCTGGTCTCTCATTTCTACAAAGTAACCACTTATGCCCAAATGTTCACAAGTCCTCACTTCTTTTCTTTCATCCTGATCTTGTCCTGTCCAATCAGACTCTTCTGGGCTGAAAAATGCATAGATAGGGTCAGTTTCAGAATGTTTAACCTGGCTTGCAGCTGCAGGGTTTGTCAAATTCAGATCCTAACTTTCTTCTGGGTCAGAAGATCCTGGAAAGACAGCGGCTCTCAATGCCATGATATGCACGCTGGTATACACCTTTTGCTCTCCGAGATGATACTACAAGTTGAAACCAGCACTTACAGTCCCACCAGCTTTCAGCACTTACAGTCCCACCCAGACTTTGCCCTTCCCCAGTTCTCCGGGTTCATCACCTGCTTGCAGCCACATCTTAGTTCTCACCTGTTCCCAGATGTCATAAACAACAAGAGTCACTTCCTCCTTATCCACCATGATACGTCTTTCATAGGTGTCCTCTGTGGGGAAATAAGGACAGAGAATGGAGCCTATTAGGAGGCTGCCAACACTTATGAGACCTGGTAACCAGGGGTGCCTCAGATCCCAGCACCAGGAACCCCCAACCAGGGAGGTTGCCACAGAAAGCATTGGAAAAACTTCTTTTCTGGCCTCCAGGAGCTGCTCATGCCTTCAGCTCTTCCATCCCTGACTAGGGCTCCAGAAACACCCTCAACCCCTGCAGAGCTCCCCTAAATACCTGGGTTCTCTGGCTCATGAGCACTGTCTCCCTGGAGACCGCCAAAAGTGCCTGCTAGGGTGCTCTTGCCCACGCCACTCTCCCCTACCAGCATGACCTTGAAGGTGGCATCCTTTTGGGTGGGGGCTGCCTCCCCTGAGCCCAAGGAGTCAGAGGAGCCAGAGGATGAGGCTTGAGGTGGCCAGTCGATTTCATCTACAGCTTGAGCCCGCCGCAGTTGGTGCTTGTAGGGGACAGGCATACTGCCTCTTCGTCTTGGGGCCCCTGGGGCAGGGGGTGGCCCGCCTCGGTCCAATCCTGTCAACAGTTTCTCTGGCTTCTTCAGCAGAGTGGTGTCTGCTTCTGGGGGGCAAAGAGAAGGAAGCTATGAGTGGGGTGTACCTAGCCATCTACAGACGGCTCAGTCCTGGCTGCGCTACCTTCAGTGGCCCAGTCGATGACCATGACCCAGAAGGAGCTAAGAATCTTTGGTCTGACCTCTTACACTGTAACTCCCCCAGAAACCTGAACTGGTTTTTAGGGCTCCAAGGAGGTGACCTGATGGCTTGCCCAAAGTGGTTCCAGCCACAACCTATTCAAAACATGCCCCATGAAGGGGAGGCACCTGTGTACAGCCTCCGCACACCCACTCACACTTCACATTGACACATAGGCACACCCCCAGACTAGGCCTCTGGCCTTGAGGCTGCTGCTCCTTCCACCAAGAGGCCTTGCCCCTGCAGCTTCCAGCATGAGGGATCCCCTCCTAGCTTGCTCAGGGATGAGAAGCTGAAGCTGCTGCCCAGGTTCTGCCCAGTAGGTAGTGGTAGTCAAAAACTTTGTGGGGGGCCTGTTCCCAGGGAAGGGCCTTTGGTCTTTGAGATGTGCGTGTTGGTTTTCTGTGGGTGTGTGCACGAGAGGGCTGCCTCTTCGTGGCCCTGTAGGTAAGTATTCCGCAGTGTATGGAAGTGTGTGAGAATCCTTCTTCATCCCAGTGAGTTGGAGAATATTGTGTTCATGGTGTGGTAGAGGGAGGGAGAAGGAAAGAGGGAGAGAGTGAGAGATCTGGAGTAAGAGAGGGAGAGTGACAATGCATGGTTCAAGGTAACTAGAGGAGGAACGACAGACACAACAAAGGGGGAGGGAGAGAAGCTGGAAATAGCCCAGGATCAATACTTGGCCGGCAGCCAGGGCCTCCAGGAGCCAGAAGAAACCCTTACAAAAGGTCCCCAGGGCAGCCCCCAGCCCGTGATTCCCAGGCTTGTGGGCTGCCCCTTCCTGTTCCCCCTTCCCTCCTGCCTGTCCCTGTCTCTTGGGAATGGGCTGACCTAGGGGGCCAAGCACCGGTTTCCCCAGTGAAGCCCTGGGAGTGATGGGGGAAGGGGTGTTAAGGCATCACTCACCGCTAAGCCCCAGTCCAGCCCCAGTCCTAGTGTGAGCAGGATTCCCTTCTTCCGGACTTGCTTTTCCCCGCTTGCTTGGGTTCAAGCTCCTTTAACCCCTAGTTCTGACATCCCCAACAAAGCTTCAGCTTTCACCCCCACGATTTCAGCGGAAACCTGCCCAGCTCAGCCTCACCTGGTGTGGGCGTCCCTGGGGGAGAGGCCTGGTGGCTGCCGGAGGGGCAGAGTGCTGTGGTTTCTGTGTCCGTGTCCATGTCGGTGTCCAGGTCCGTATGCATCGGTGTGCGGTGTGCGTGTGGGTGTGCAGCCCGGCGACTCGCAGCACTCGCTCCCTCACTCAGCAGCACTGTCAGCTTTTCCCTTTAAATACCACCTCCCCACTCTTGCTCTTGCACTCCCCCCCGCCCTCCACACCTGGGGAAATCGTCCCGCCCCTGATGAGGTCACACATACTAATGAGCAGTGATGTCAGCGGGATTCCCTCCTTTCTGCCACCCCTCCCCAGCCTTTGTGTCGCTTTCTTCTGGGAGCACACACACACTGAGGAGTTAAGACATGAACAGAACTAAGTCATAGGGTAGAGGAGACGAGTTCGGAGAAGTAGGGCAAGGGGTCTGTAGGAAAGGAAGCAGGAGGCAGAGACCCAGGGACTGGGAGATCTTTCTCCAGGAGCCAGGACTATTTGTCAGTTACCTCTGTGTTCCCAGCTCCCTAGCCCAGTGTTCAGCCCAGGGTGGGTGCTCTGTGGCTAAATGGAGGGGCTAGAGGCAGAAACCAAAAGAAATGCAGGGACAGGGGGACAGCCACTCTGCCACCAAGCTTCCCTGTCATTCTCTCCTTCCCCACACCCACCCGTCCCTTCTGGGCGAAGGCCCACAAAGATACCCATTTCCCAGTCTGGTCCATAGGCAGATGGGGGCTTTGAGGAAGGAGAAGTGGCTGCTTTGTTTGGGCACCTTCATTTTGGTATTAGGTTCAGGTAGGTCCAAACCACTGTGGGGACTTCCTTTCTCTCTCTCCCTGCCAGGCCAACCATCCAAGTGTTAACCACAGAAGGAAAAAAAGGGAGAGACTAGCTCTCTAGAAGTTCCCAACCCCAAGGTGGGGATGGGATGTGCCAGCCCACTCCATCCCTTGTGGCATTCAGCAAAGCAGCCACCAGGCCTCTGGGCTACACAAGGTGGACACACAGTCTGCCTCTTTGTGCGAAGCCAGGAAGGTGTGTCATCTTTACTACTTCTTTCCTGCCTGGTTCCCTTTCTCTTCAGGCTCCCACTCTTGTCTTCCTGACAGCCACATTCTGATTTCCTGGCCTCTCCTGAACCATTTTTGCCAGGTGCTGGGCTAAGCACCTTCCTGCATTAGCTCTTTCGTCCTAATGATTCTGAGGCTCAGAGTAGTAGGTGGACGGCCTGTCCCCAAATCAAGCATGCAGCTGGAAAGTGGGGACACCAGGATTCTCACTCAACTCTTTCCAACACTAGATTGTTTTTTGTCTCTACCCTTATGCTGCATTTCTCGTCTTAATATTCCAACTGTCTTCAATTATTGGGAACAATCCATATTGCAATCTTTAGTGGAATTTTCCAATCAAAGAGGCAAATGGTAATCTTGGGACTAATGTGCAGTGACAGTTCACTTATCTGGACGTCAACTACAGGTCAGCATTGTGGGTTCTAGAGGGAGCAGAAAGGACTCCTAAGCAGCTACAATACTCATTGGATAGACTCTCCAGTCCTCAATCACGGCCTACTTAACCTTACTTTATTCACAAATTTAATGTGTCCTTGTGTGTTCTGTACTCACAGATCAGAAGCACATTTAGAGCAGCAAGTGACCCCTGGTAGTGAGGTAAACAACACTACAAAAAACTTTTAAAGTAGTTATAAGCATTTAAATAGTGGTCTAAGGTTATTTGGCATAGACAACTCCCTGACACTGTTACAGCTTCTGAAAACATTGCTGCAGGGGAGCCATTGGTTTCTATGAATGATCCTCAGCTGCCTAGAAATATTTATATTATATTGCAGATATGCTGAAGATGACTGTGATGCTTTAGAATGATTTCCTTCCAAAATGAATTTTTAGAAAAGTTTTAAATTGCAAAGGGGTGAGCTTGATGTATTTGGAAAACTCACTTAGGTGGCTAGATTTATTTCTGTTATATCACGTAACAGTGAGTCAAAGGCTGCAGAGCCCAGCAAGGATTCTTGATCATGACTTCAGCCTGCCCTCAAGCCAGCTTTAGGCCACAGAGGCAGGTTGGGTTTCACCTTGAACCATCTCTCTGGTTTCACTAGTAAGAGGCTGTGCACTTGCCCATATCTAAGGAATGGGAGGTCAAGAGAATGTGGAATGGTGGGACAAGGGTGAGATTTGGAAGCAAGCCAATCCTGGTTTAAATCTGCCTCTCTGTCCCTCTCACTCTCTGCCTCTGAGAAGAGAGAGCACACTGTTTGTAGTGTTACCCCTTTTCTAATAAACTTTCATTTTGACTCTTAAAAAAGAAATCTGCCTCTCTGTGGAGACTAGGCTAGTCTTGAAATTTCTTTGATGCTGCTCCTGAACATGTGAATTGGAGTTAGGAGGCCCATGGCACAGCCTTGTCATGAGGCTTGGCCATGTAAGATAAAGGAGCTGGTACTCAGCAGGGTGCCCAACTATTTGGTGTTCCCAGCCTCTGGCTGTATGTCTGTGGATCCTTCTCCCCTCTCAGTGGGGCCTGGAGCTAGGTTCAGGCCCAGATTCTGTTCCTTAAGACTGAATTCTGCTGTTATCTCAGATTCCCAGCCTGATCCCCTTCTCAAGCTAAGAACAATTCCCTCCTCCCACATTTGATACTGAGCACCTTGGGTAGTGGTGTCTATCCAGATAGGATTTGAAGTTGCTATTTTCTTTTTCCTTGGGCCATGGATAAAATAAAATAGGTGAGTTCTCTCCAATGCCCCTACCCTCTCCTGGCTAAGACCCTCTCACTTAATTTCCCCATATGGCCTGTACAAGGTGAATCTCCTCTCTCTGCCAAACAGAGCCTTCATTAGGACTCACAATAGCAGTGTTACTGCTTGCACCTCCTAGAGCACAGATCCAGCACCTCAAGAAGCTTCTTTTGGGCCCATGAATCTATATGTACAGGCCTTTTTAGTACACTCTACCCTAAAGTCCTCCCTCCAGCATTCTGAGGCATTCCACCATGAGGAGCTTTCTTTTACCTTAAATCTTTGCCCACTTTCAAGTTATGGAAAGTCTGAAGCAGGACAAGGGATGAAGATATCAGACTGAAGGTTTTTGAGGTGGCTACTGGGGAAGACAGGCGCAGGGAGACAGCAAAGACCAAGTGATGGAGGTATGGGAGGGAAAATCAGCATTTTTTGCTTCACTGTTTTCACTGGGCCTGACACTGGTGAGACCAAGGAGTATTTGCACTTGGGAAGGAAGGTCCAAAGGGAGAAAAGCAAGCAAGAATAAGGATCTCTGGATCCCCTTCCCCAATCTCTGGAGAGGGTCTAGAGTGAAAGGAGCTTGAGTTTTTCCCAAACCAAGATGCCAGGGTCCCAGGACTGCACCATATCCCCTTTCTGCCACTTCCCTAGACTCTTGCTCACTAGGAAAGAGAAAACATTACAGAATTAGTACTGAGTGTGAGATTGACAGGGTGTAATCAACAGGGGCCCTCTATCAGAGGCGTGGGGATAGGCCAGGCCAGGTAGGAAAAGTAAGGGTGAACCTGAAGGGGAGCCCATTTGGGGAAGGGGGCGCTGGTTCTGTCGGGGATATCTCAGTTCTGCTCTTTCCCCCTATAGGCTCCTTCTATATCCTTTGTCCTGATTTTCATTCCAAAATCTGGGACAGTTGTCCTGCTTACCAGAGGCTGGGTTCAAACATTTCTCAAGCCATTCCCTCCTTCCCCACCCTCTCTAGCTTTTTGGCTCTGGCCACTGCTTGCACTCCTTCCCCTCTCTGAGGTCCAGGATCCAGCCTATAGCCCTGGCCCTCAAATCTGCTTAGTTTGCTTATACTGTCAACTCTCAACCTGCCTAGAACTCACAACTCCATTCCAACTACTGACAACATTCTTTAGAATCTATTTTGGGCCCTCTTCCAGGAAGACCTCTTAGATTTGGCCAAGGTGATGCCAGCACCTTTATATCCTGAATGTTTGTGATTTTTCTTGACTCATCTTTGCTTGCTTTGAGGCATCCTGGGTAAAAGTTCATCTGTCTTGCCTAGGACAGACTGTAAGTGCCTGGTGGGGGTATAGAGCGGAGGGCAGGAGTCGTGGCTCCCATGTTCCACCAGGGACAATCTGCTCCTGTGATCTGTGCTCTGGGAATACTCCATAAATGGAAACCTTCCCAGCTACAAAGCCCAGCTGGCTCACCAGACTTCCGGCCTGGCAGTGAATAAGGAGGCTTGGTACTCACCCTGGTGTTAGTCACTATGGAGCTGGGCCCCAGGCGGTGAGTGGAGGTGGAGAGGGTTGGTTCTTAGGGTCCCTAGAATTTGCTTACCCACTAAGTGGCATAAAAATTAAGGGTGTGTGGTTAGAAGATAAACAGGAAGAAGGCAGGAAGTAGAGGGCAGAGCAAAGGCCTACATAGGAAGGAGCAAGGTGAGCTGAGCATAAGCTGAAGTGGGTAGAGAGGCAGGGCTCAGGCTCACAGCTCATTTACAAAAAACTTAAATTTCTGATTCCTTTATTTTCAATCTTGACTTTCTAGACAATGACCTAGCTATGAGACAAAAGCATTTGTTGTGCTCTTTTTATAAGCCAGGCCCTATAGGAAGGATTACAGTTGGCAAACCTCAGGCTCTGCCTGAAATCCTCCCCTTGGGGGCTGGAAGTCTCCAGCCAATTGGCATTCTGGTGCTAAAGGTCACTTCTGAGTAAGGGAATGGCAAGGATGGGATGATCAGGCCTATAACCCCTTCACGTTTTAAAAAGAGGCACCTGAATAGTGGTAGTGTGAGGAGAGGGTGGTAGAGGGACTGGTCTCTGGCCACGTGCAGAGGGAGCTCTGTGTGAGCCCTTTCCCTGCCCAAGGGACACCTAACTTTACGGCAATGACACGGGGCCAAAGGGAGGTTCACTAAGTCCCCTCAGACTGTGGGTCAGGAAGAAAAGGGAGGTAGTGGCAAGAAAATAAGCTGCTCTCTAGAGGGTTACTGTCACTGTACTTGAGCCGTTGGGGAGCTGGGTCACCTCAGGCAAGCAGTGGCTCATCCTCTGCTTCAACTATCCAGACCCCTGGCTCAGCCAGTGGCACCAGCAGCACATCATCCTCATCCTCTGGGGACAGGACTATTGTGTGGGGTTCAGGTGGGGTCCGGGTTGGTCCTGGGGGTCGAGCTGGTCCTGGGGGCCGAAGGCCGGGCAGAATGCGGCCTCTCAGGGCCTGTACCACTCCAGACAACAGTGATGGCTCTAGGGATGCTGAGGGCAGTGGCCTTGGTGCCTCAGGGACAGTAGGGGGAGCTGGAGATGTACTGGCAGATGGAAGGGGAGCCTTGACAGGCAGTGGGGGTGCCTGTTCCCCATCTTGCCCACCTACTGCCCCAATCTCACGGGCTGGACCTGTGCTGTTATCTAGGGCTTCAAGGGGAGCATCAGAAGGTGGGACCTGAGATCTGGTCTCAGAGGTCCGGGCTGGGGGGTTGGTTCGAGGAAGCAGGCCCCAGCGGCGGAGACGGCGTACCAGGCGGCGCGTTGAGCGGCCCCGCTGTCGGCGGCGGGTACCTGCGGCACCTCCTGGAGTCATATCCTGGCGCAAGATCTGAAGCAGAGAACGCAGGTTGCCCAGCACTGAGTTCTGCAAGGAGAGGAGGCAGACATCAGAGTTGGGGGGCGTGGGGAGGGCCAGAAGGCTGAAAGGAGACAATGGCAGGGCCACAGCAGAGATGGGAGCAGGAAGAACTAAGGTTGTGGGGCAACTTACATCATTTGGGTTCTCTGTAGGGAAGTCCTCTACAGGTGGGATGGCACCCTGGGCAATGAGCTGCCCATAGGACGGAGGTGCCTGCTGCTGCACAATCTCAGCCTCCATCCGGGAGAGTGGGGCAAAGATGCTGGAAGGAATGAGGGCTACTCAGTCACAGATGGTTCTGGCCAGAGCAGCCTGTCCCAGCCTAGACAGGCCTCTTCCCTCCACACCCAGGCCAGGACAACTGAAGATATGCCATGGCTCCCCAAAAAGTAACCTGAGGTCCTTTCCTCGAGATTACTTTCAGGATGTAGACCTGCCTTTCCTCAGAAGAGCACCCCTTTCCCAAAGCCAGACAACCCTAACAGCTAATCCATGAGCTGGTCACCAGAATCTGTCCCCAACATGGGCACAGGCCTTGTCTCCCCCACAGTCCCCACTCCTCTCCAGCCAGCTACACTCCCACTGACCTGTACTCTTGGGTGCGGATGGCATAGAGCTTGCAGGTGCAGCCCAGAGCAATGACGAGCAGCAAGCCACACACAAGGCTGCCAATGACTGCGGCTGTGATGACCTTGCGGGGCAGGGCATAGGAGCAGTCCCACTCATCACTGCCATCAGCACAGTCTGGCTGCCCGTCACAAACCCACGTCTCATACACACACTTCTCATCCCGGCATCGGAAGTTGCCAGGCTGGCAGTGCCGGCAACGTCTCTCATCTGCTCCATCAGCACAGAAGGTCTGGTAGTTGCAGCGGTCGGCAGGCAGGTAGCAGGCTGAGGCACCAGGAGTGCCGGCAGCCCCACAGGGATAGTGTCCAGGTGGGCAGCTGGGGCAGTTCTCCTCGTCTGTGCCATCAGCACAGTCCCATAAGCCGTCGCAGCGCTGTGCCTCACTGTAGCAGCGCTCACCTAGGCCCTCGCTAGCCCCCAGGCCAGAGCCTAAGCCGCAGGGTCGGTCCCAAGGCAAGCAGTAGCCCTGTACATGGTAGGTGGCATTGAAGCCCCGACCATTGCTCCAAGGAACTGTGTGGTAGGCCACAATGGCCTGGCCAGACAGTGTCTCCACAGTGACAGCCTTGCCATTGTTGAAGTGGGTGAGTCTGCGCAGCCGCCGGGAGGTCTCAGGGAGCCCGGTGCCATCATACACATGCACCGTATCTTCATAGCCCAGGTCCAAGGCTGTGAAGCGCACAGCCAGGCGCCGGCCATCATGGGGGTCCAGGAGCCAGAGGCAGTACTGGGGATGGGAGACTGAGGCCAGGTATGAGTATCCAGGGGAGGAGAAGACCCCATAGAAGTCTTCCAAGGTGTGATTGCAGGGTGGGGTAGGGAACGGGATTGGTGTCAGGACAGGGAAGGGGTCTGAACTGCAACCTGCCTCATCAGAGCCATCGCCACAGGCATCAACACCATCGCAGTGCTGGGACGCAGGGACACAGCGGTGGTTCAGGCACTGGAACTCTTCCTGCAGGCAATCTGCAGAGGCACCATGGAGAGGGGCTGTGGAGCACCAGAGACGATAGGATCCTCCCCTCCTCCCCGGGGCTTCCACTGCCTGTGTTAACAGCCCCATGGACATCCCTGTCCAGCCCACCTTGGCTGTAGGAGAGCAGAAAGCCTTGGCCCATGGGTGCTCTGGCCCCGGCATAGCTGTAGGTAATGGTGACATTGCCCCCACGCAGCTGCAGAGGGTTGGCAGGTGCCTTGCACAGGGAGATCTGTGGCTGGAGAGGGGAGCGCAGGATTAGGCGCTCTGAGTCACAGGCCAGGTGCAGTTTTTGGAACCTACAGGGGTGGAAGAGAGTAGGATATGAGATATTCTTGACCACTGCTGGCCTCTTTCTCCCCCAGGCCCCTTCTACCCCAAGAAGCACAAACACCTACTTATCCACAATCCAAATAGCCAATCGAATCTCTGCCAAATTCCTTAGCAGTGAATGGCAATAGTCCTAACATAGACTAGTGGCACCATGAGACCATGAGAACCTAGAGCCCCTTGGAAAAACTGATTTGTGTTCTGAGACTTGCAATAAGAAAGGGTGTATTGCTTTTCAGTTGTTGCAGTGCTGCCACTCAAGTATAGAGTTAGCAGGAACTGGCAATTACCATACAGTTCAATTAACCAGAACTTGGTATCTCCTCCCAGTGCCCAATGGTATGACCTGGGATCACCATGGCATTGTGATCCCTTTGCCCCAATACTCTCTCCCTAAACTGCCCTCTCCCTTCACCTACTCCTTTCTGGGTAAATTCATGGGAAGTTAAATGTGTGAAGCAAATAGCCAGGTACTTAACATGGGCCTCAACCCCAAAGCCCAGGGTTGGAGGAACCTGGGAGACATACTGTTTCCTGTTTGAGAGTCTGGGGAGGTTGAGGAAGCTTCTAAGATGATTAAGGGAATAGCTCTGAATCCCAGGCAAGGATGTGCAATGGATTGAAGGACTGACTCCTCAGAGCAGCTATATGGCAGCCTAAAGACTGTTTCTAGAGTGACCATTGTCCTTCAGAGATGACCAGGACCCCAAGCTAGATGTCTGCCCCTGCCCAGCTCCAATTCACCGTGTCTGATCCAGAACAAGCCAGGCTTTTAGGACAGACTAGGCCAAATCAAATTCCACTCTTCCCCGTATTAACAGAGATGGAAATTCTATGAAGAAGTGCCATGACGGTTTTCCCATGATGAAGCAGGGAGGGGCGGGGGAGAGGAACAGAGTCTTGCCCTGCTTCTCACCTGACCATTACATTCCGCTCCTTGCTGCCCAGGATGAGCCAGGTGCAGTTGGCAGGGGAGTTGTGGCCGTCTCGGCTCAGGGGCCTTTGTAAGGTGCCCTGCACTTCCGAGAGCACTGCTGGAGGGTCCTCACAGGCTGGTGAGAGAGAAAAGCAGGGACACTGGTCCAGAGTCCCATCCCTACTGGGCTTGAGGCCTCCAAGGATCTGGGCTCTTCAAGAAGGAGCAGGGAAATTTCTCCTCCTCAACCACACTCTATACAGAGTCATAGTCTTCAGTGAGGCCCCCTCCCTCACCAATACGCATCATTGCTTCACCTTAAGTATCAACGCCATAAACAATTTAAGGTCTGCTTTGTGCCAGCCACTGGGCCAGGAGGAGCAAGAAATATTGTCTCTACCCTCAGCAAGACTAAGGAGATCAAGCACGGATACTGGGGAAAAAAACAAAATAGTATGCAACTACCAGGTGAGGGCTTACGCTGGGTCTCAATTTCCCCATGTAAAATAACGGATGGATGAATCTCCACTCGAAAACTATGCTAGGTACCAGAAAAATTCAGAAAAGAGAGAATCCGCCTTTTGAGTCTTCTCTCGTTATAAAGCCCTAGGCCCCAGAGACATCATCTCCTCACCAGGATTTGGGAAATTGATCCGGTCTGGATGGGCCAGCGCGCCTCCTAGAGGAAGAGCGAGAAAGGGCAGGAGAATGAGTCATCGTCAAAGTTTTCTTAATCTGTGCAACTCAAGGAGAAAAGGGAGCCATCTGGGACTTTATGGGAAGGGGTGATGGAGCAGAGGGGAGCTCTGGTGTGCGATCTCAAAGGAAGGTCCGGCAGCATGGCTTGCGGGGTGGGTACAGAGATCTAGGGAAGCCAGAGGGAGGATGAACGCTGAGGGGGGCGGCCGGAGACTTCCCGGGGGTTGGGGCAGGCAGCGCTTGGGTGTGGCAGCAGGGCAGAAGGCAAGGGCAAACAGGGTAGGGTAGGGTAAAGGGCCTCAGAGGAGAAAGGGAGCTAGAACTCCTGGGCCGGTGATAGCCCTGGGGGCGGGGTTCCGGATGAGGAGTTTCGGTTTCTTACCCAGGAGAAGGAAGAGGAGGGTGGCCCGCAGCATACTGAGCCGTCTGGCGGAGCAGAAAGCTTCCCAGAGCTTCTGTCGTCTACCCAGTGGGAAGGCGTCGCCGCTCAGAACGTCCAGGTCCCGAAGTGCCGTCTCCTCGAGGAGGTTCCATGGCCTCGGCTCCTCGACCAGTGCTTGGGATGCCAGGGCTGGGGGTGGGGAGGCGGCGGCGGCACGGCAGCAGGGGCGGGGCCGCTCGCCAACTTCAGAGTTGTTTTCCCAGCCGCCGC